AGCCATATTATTCATCAACAGGGTAGGGATGAGCACGACAGTGCAGGTGAGCATGAAGGATGGACAATCTTCGGGGATTTTAAATTGGGAACACAACAAAACACTAACACTCAGGGATTTGGGAATAGTCAGACGCCTGCTAATATCGATGATTCAGTTTTTAGATCGAATAAATGAATTGTTAAACGAATTCAATCAATGGCACCAGCGTGACCAAGAAGAACAATAACGTCGTCTATCATTTTATTTTTAGATCATATGTTACTAATTTTATACTTTATTGTAGTCCATGTATGTTGATATACTTATTCCATGATAATTATATGTTTATCCTTTTGTGTGATGTAAATTAAATGCTGAATGGCGGTTCATGCAGGGAAAGAACATATCAATATTCGCATATTCATTCAAAAACATGAAAATTCTTAATGGAATACTCTCATTTCTTATTGAATTCTTTAAAAACAATATTTATAATGAATTTTAATAATTTTTTCGGATTTTTTTTAAGCTTTATTATGACCGATTCAACCGATTCCCGATCCGAATCGTCGATTCGCCGATCCAAATCGGTTTTTTGGTAACTCGATCCGAGTCACCGATCCGTTTTTTAAACCATTGCTTCTAACCAAAAGAAAACCGTTATTGGTTATAACATGCTTTAGATACCAGCAAGAAATATCAGCTGAATATGGCAGGCTTCTGAATGCCATCAAGACCCTAAAGTGTGTAGAACATGGTTTTAAAAACTAAGCAGAACAAGTGGCATAATAGCCATTATATGCAAATGCATAGTGTTACCTGAACACCTACACCTAAGATGTCTGATATGTTGGATAAAAAACCCAACATAGCACTACAAGTAAGTTTTAATATAGAATTCCATGTACATGACTTATTATCAACTATTAAAAATAAAAACATTATAGGAATGCTAAATTAAATAATATAATATTTAATTGATTTCTAAATCTCCTTTATACCTTTTTTTCACTTTTATCTAATTAGAAAAAAACTTCATACTTTCATTTACCTCGTCTATATCTTTTTTTTTTCTAAATTTTGACATTTTTTTACCAAAATAGCTTGTATTACCGTGAAGCTCTATGCATCACGGTACTTAAAGTATTGTTGTAATGTCTCGAGGCATCACGATACTTAAAGTACCGTGATGAATCTAACATATTTTACGGTAGTAAAAATACCATAATAAAATTGGATGAGGGTTTAACAGGATTTCTGGTTTTGTAGGAGGCTCGTAATATTGGCCAAAGGGGGGAAGACAGGCCATTTGAATCTAACATGTTTCACGCAGGCTGGACCACTTTTGTATAATAAGTGGTCCAGAGTTACCATCTAAAAACAAATTAATTAACGGTCCAAATGTTTTTTAATATAATAATTATTATTTTTTTTCAAAATTTATTTATTTATTCATATTCATGATCTCCATGTTAAAGATTATACATTATCTAAAAATTAGGATCAAATTATATTTAAAAAATATATTTATTACCAAGCTTGCATTTCTGCATGTGTGGGCTTGGCCGCATGCTAACCTCGTCTTTTTATAAAAAAGTGTGGTTTGTATAGAGCCGAGGCTTTAAACAATCAAAGTAAAGCGTACCTGTAAATAGTGTTGAGAAATATAGTTTCAATATTGAAAATCTTTATGCTAGCTTTAAAATATATATATTTTTTTAATTATAAAATTTTAAACTTAAAAAATAATGTAAATCAAGCAGATATATGACAACTAAAAATTGACGGTAAAAAAAAAACGTTACAAGATGCATTATTTCCAAAATTTGAAATCCATTTTTTTCTCATATCCATGCTTCTTGATGTCGAGATGATCAATCTAACGAATTTTGGGCATCAAAACAACCTCTTCTAGTGAAATTTTGAATGTGGGCTCTAATTTGAATATTTAGAGCCTCGGTCCGATATAAACTTATTCATTTTTTCCTTTATAAAACAGAAGATATTAGGAATGGATTCCCAAATATTTATAGCTGAGAGGTCTCGTTTGGTTGGGTTTGCTATGAACCTCCCCCAACTCAACCCAAATATCGAGCTCGGACGTGGACTTGTAACCGCTGGGTCCATAGACCAAGCGTGGCGCAGGTCCGCGGGAAGTCCCGATCCGATTCGGAGCACGAGTTAAGTTCTCGAATTTTGCTTTCACGAGATAGAACGAGAGAGTTGGTTCTCATCCGGGGAGTTACCCTCTGAGGAACCAGGACCCTGTCACTTCTCTCACTAGATTCTAGAGAGAGAGAGAGAAGACGCAGGTGATGCGCATGTATCTGCAATAATTGAAGAGAAGAGACCAATCGAATGGAGAGCAAAAGCAACAATATCAATTCAGTGTTCTATGCAGATTCCTATCACCCAATTCAAGCTGGAAGCATCGATGGCACTGATATCCTTCCCCATGACAACGCTGTTTATCGCGCCTTCCTCTGTTCCTCTGCTGGCCTCTGTAAATAACTAATTATCATTTCCTTCCATCTCTCTCTCTCTCTCCACTGCTTGCCTCACATTCAGAGTATTATTTAATCTGATTGCAGATGACCCAACTGGGGACCCCAAGGTTATCGGCGATCCATATTGCACTGTCTTTGTTGGACACCTTTCTCCTCACACAGGCGAAGAATCGCTGCGCAAGGTAACCGATGCTTGTTAACCCGCCATTAGTCGAGAGAATAGTTAGTGGCTGTCTTTTTTATAACAAAAAATGTAATGGTTTTTTCATGGTTGTAGTGGATTTTGTTGTTTCATTTTCTAATTGTGAGAGGGATGTTTGGCGGTGTTTTTATTATTTCGTTCCCTTATTTATTAATGAATTTTCATGGAATCATGGTGACATAATATAACCAGGGTTCCAATATTAGAATTGTTTGTTTTGACTCCAATATTGGAGTTATTTATTTGAACTTCCACCATTGTAATTTGTTATTTCTATAAAGTTTTCAGTGGGTTTTAATGGTTATGTTGGATTTATTTACTTCATCGCCGCAGGCAATGAGCAAGTATGGGCGCGTGAAGAACTTGCGATTGGTTAGACACATTGGTAATCTACTCTCTCACTATCTTCTTTGATGTTTCCAGATTCCATCTTGTTCTAGTTTGGGGCCTTACCTTTGAAGTGGTATTTATGCATTGCATGTTTTTATTCTGTAGATTGAAGGTGTTATTTATCTCTAATGCAGGGTAAAGTTTGGGTTTGTGATCATCAGGACACCTTAATTGTAGCTCACACATGCCATAATTTATAATTTTGAACATCTTCCATTAGCTTGGGCACCATCTACAACTTTTTAGTCCAGTTAAGAAACCATTGGCAGATACTTTACGTCAATAACTTTCCTCTTTTTTGGCATGATGGAAATTTTGTTATACCTTCTTTCCTCTTCTTGGGATGATGAAAATTTTGTTAATTCGGGACATCAAAATACGCACATTATCTGTATATTTCGGGCTTGTTCATGATGAACTATGCCCTCGGCAATACTATTAAGCTATCAAGCTTGTTCATGATATACTATTGCCCCATTCTTTCTACTGACCCCTACCATAACCACCCCAGTCCCCTATCTCTCTCTTCTCCTTCACTTCCTTTCATTCCAATGCCCGTCGCCCCTCCTTCTCTATTGTCTTGTCACTCCCTCTTCCTTCCGCTGCGAGGTCATTATGGACGGAAGGGAACTGAAGCCCATCTCTGCGACAGCACCATATAGAGTACCTATTCAAGATGTAGCTGTTATATTAGGGCATAGGGCTTCCACACCCTCTTTTCTCTCGAGCCATCGTCTACTTCTCTTTTTTCTTTTGCTCTCGTTTCCTTTACTACCCTCTATTTCTGTATTTCTCTCCTCTCTAACTATACATTTTGTAGTTTGAGCACCCGACTTGTGGGCTGCCGTCTTTTGTACTTTTGATGTAATACATTATTTTATGAATTCAAAGTTAACCATTTCCTCAAAAAATAAAATAAAAAATGGAGACATCAAAATGATTTAGAGCTAGCAAAGCCTATGAGAGTGAGATGTTGGTTGGTGGAGTCATGTGAATTTCTATTGATAAAGAACAATGGTTGTGCTTCCTAGTTTACTTATCATAGATTTCTGTCCCTTTTTCTTTGGGATCCCCATGCCATTATGGTGTTTGTGAGTTCTATAAATTGTTCGTCATCCCTCTTTGGGAAAGCCATTCATTGAGTGAGTCATTTCAGCATATGTTTTTGGATTTGATTATTTTTCTCATTAGCAGTTGGTGAAAATTTTGTCAACCCAATGGTTAGGAATTAGGATATTTTCCTCTAGTATGAAAGTCAGTTTCATTTCTAATTAGGATGTAAAGATAATAAAAGCTTCTCATGGCAATTGCATGGTGCTTAGCTCTAAGTTCACAATCATCAGGAACGGTTATTCTTTGAAAATTTGAAGTGTAGATCATTTCCTTCATGCCTTGTTTAGGCTATGGGGTTAGGACTACAGTTAAGCAGATGTTCCGATGCCCACTTTGTTTTTTTCCGTTTTTCTTTAATGCATCAAACATGTTTAGGTTGATTCCTTTTCTTCGCAAGTGATGCTTCTGATCAGGATCATTAGCCTATGATTATCTTATTTGACCCATAAGTCACCTCATGTGGCAAACTTAAGAATCACATTTCTGTTTATCAACAATTGCTATATAATTTCATTGGAAATGTGAATGGATTGTTGATTGTCTAATAGAATATAAGAAAGTATAGCAGTAAAATTTTTATTCTGATGTTCTGATGAATTGTGCCCTTTTTACTTCCATGAAGAAATTGACACCTCATGCATTAAACAATGTTGTAATAATTGGTGATTCATAGCTGGCTTGTGTATGTGTGTATCTTTTGGATTGCATTGTTATTTCTGTAGTCATATCTGTTATTAAATTGTTTTTCTCCATACCCAATTTATTAATTGATTTATTTTAATTATGAGATTTATTTTCTTCAGTATTTTTATTTTATAGTTAACAATAGTTTATTTCGGGGATTGAGATTTGTTTTTACTGCTAGATCCCTTCCCCAACTCATTAAACCTTTATTGTTTTAGCTTGCTTTTTTTTGGAGATGTTTACTAGATTTCACTTGAAAACTTAGCAATATCAATCTAAAACATATCAATCTAAAATTTGCACTATGCTTCTTGCAGTGACTGGTGCATCACGGGGCTATGCTTTTGTAGAGTTCGAAACTGAAAGGGAGATGTGGCATGCATATGAGGTATCTTGGTCTTGATTGACTATATTGCTATATGAAATTTTTAGCATGTATTCACATTCTTATTGAGAGAATCCTCATTGTCACGTGAAGTTTCTTTGTGCTCTTTCCATCTCCTTTTCCTGTGACTGGAGCAATCATCTTGAGAACAATATGTACACTTTAGCCATTGAATATGAAACAATTCAAAGGAATTTGTAAAGAGTGCCTTGGTTCTGCAAACACTTTCAAGGAACAGCGATTGAGGGATCACAGCTTGATTCCAGAATTGCTTCAGAAGTTTAACTGTTTGCAGAGTCGCAAATGTGGCATATTAGAACTAGCTTGCTCTGACCATTGTGAGACCAGATTTATTGCAGGCCGATCAAACAATGTGAGCAACCAATGAGACAATGTGAGCATACTGCTTTCACAGAAACCTTTGGTGTCATACCTGAAGATCACTCCTGTACGCTTTCACTCTTGGAGAATCTACAGTTAACACTAGTGTCATTATGATAATTGTGCCTTTGTAATGATTTGAACCCAGAATATTAGGTAGTGTAGATATTTCTGCAGGATTATGGCACTTGTTAGGAGTTAGAAGGGAGTCTTGCATGTTGCTGTCAGCCCTATTGTTCCTTTCGATTTCATTTGACTCTGCAAGCAACAAGGACTTGTCATCTGAGTTTAGGTGGTATTGTTCTTCATGAAGGGCTTTGGGTGCTCCCTAAGGATAGGATCTCAAGGGTTTGGGGGATCTCAAGATAAGAGAAGGGGGGTGACTCATCAGCAAGTGGGGAGAAAATGGGGAAATATTGCGATGTTGGGTTTTTGATTTTGGGGGTCTAGGGAATGTAGGGAATGAGGGAATGGGTCGGCAAAAACTCTAATGCAGGGTGCCTAGTGGAAAACCTGCACGGAGGTAAGATTTCTGGCAGTGTGATGCAATTGAAGCAAAATGGATGGGTTGGGATTTCCAGCAGGGGGAGTTCTCTGGAAGGGCGGGAGGATTTTCTAGCAGGTGGGATGTTTTTCCGGCAGTGGGTGGGTTTTCTGGCAATGGAGGGCGACTTAATTCTTCACAGTACTGGATTTCATGACTGTAACTATTAGAAAAAAATAAAGAAATTCCTTTATCTGGTGCATTGTTCTCAAGATGTGTGGTGAACGATTATATAGATGTTGTTGAACAATTATCTAGGTGTGTGTATGTATGTGAAAAGTTCATGTTAGTTGTTTTGCATGCTTTTCATGTGCATTTGACAAGGTTTAGCTTGCAATATATGAATTGGTTAGTAAGGTTTTATTCTGACTACATACTTTGCAAGTAATATAGGTGAGTTTTGAATAATGCCAACTTGATAACCTGGATAATTAGTCATTAATGAAATTTCCATTTTAGAATAAGCCGCTTCTTTCCTGTGACTGCGTTATGAATTCCCTATTCTCCTAGGAGTTGTGTGTTGAAAGAAGTTCAATTCCTTCTGAGATGGTTTTAGGGCATTGTTATGCCAATGAAATAAAAAAAGCATAAAACTTTAATATCATCCTTATCCATTATTTCTGTTCATTTTTTCTTCTCTTGTGCAGGATGCTCACCATTCCATCATTGATGATAGTGAAATAATTGTTGATTATAGTCGACAGCAGCTGATGCCTGGATGGATCCCTCGAAGATTAGGTCTGTATCATGCCATTTTTTTTCAATAAGTTTCCATTTTCTTTTTCCAGAAAATGTGAGCACTGGTGCAGATCTTGCAGTGCATCAGTAATTTAACATATCATGACAGTTCGTAGATCCCTTGAATCCTTTTCAAATGACTTTTTTCTCTACAACCATATATAATTGCTTTTTTTTTCTTGACAAGGACAAGCATTCATACAAAGGGGTTAAGATAATTACATTTAAAAATGGAAAATGTTTAGATAGAGCCGAGGCTTTAATCAATCAAATTAGAGCGCACCTCAAAAATTTCACTAGAAGATGTTGTTTTGATGCCCAAATATCTTCAAATTCATCATCTCGACATCAAGATGCATGGACATTATAAAAAAATGGATTTCAAGTTTTGGAAATAGGGCATCTTGTAATGCATTTTGGGAACGTCAATTTTCAAGATTTTCAAGTTTTCATAGATCTGCTCGATCTACACTATTTTTTGAGCTTTAGATTTTATAATTAGAGATGGAAATATATTTTAAGGCTATCACAAAGATTTCCAGCATTGAAATCACATTTCTCGACACTATTTGAAGCCTCGGCTCTATACAAACCGCACCCTTTAAAAATTGACAGATCCAGTTTCTTAAAGGCGAGTGGGAGGACCATTTTTCTTGCTCTGGAGACTAGACATGAAACATTGAGCATGTTGGCTAATAAAACCATGGGATCCCTTTCTAGTGCAGGAGGTGGCCTTGGTGGTAGAAAGGAATCAGGTCAGCTACGCTTTGGAGGCCGAGAAAGACCATTCCGAGCTCCTCTGTATGAACTCCCAAGCTTAGTAAAACTCGTCACAATTTGTCTCCTCTTTACATGGTTTTTTGAGCCTCTAAGCTGGAAAGGGAATAGACTTATATGTTTCTGGCTTGCGTATGCTAACCTATTCTTTCAAGTTTGAAATAGTGCCTGTTTCATTTCGGCTTTGAAAAAACATACCTTTTCCTTTCTAAGCATATTATGTGTGTCATATTATCGGTGCCCAGATTGTTTTCAAATATGACCTTTCCCTACCTGTGTAAATTACAAAAGGAAAAAGTAACATCTATATGAAAATAACCCAAGATATGTGTTGCGATTGTGGGGATTCGAACTAGAAAGCTTGCATTGATACTGTGGTATCTTTTCCATTAGGATACATTGCTTGACCCTGGAAACATCATGCTGAGGATTTGAACTGGAAACCCTAGTGTTGAGATTGTGATATCCTTACAATTAGGATATAGTACTTGACCCTATACATCCAAATTGTATTAACTATTGAGGAGCTCGTATGTTGCACGAAATTTTAGACTATCTCATCTTATTGCAAAATCGATAAATCAGAGATAATTACATTATTATGGATAAAAAATTGAATGCTGACACCTTTTTTAATTATATGAAGTTATACTTCCAAGTTTTGAGGTATAACAGGTAAATAATATAAAAAGTTTCTAATAGAAGATATTACTAATATATTGTAGAACTCAAATGTAGGAGCGTACATATATCCTGTCCAATAATTGAAACCATAAAAATTTAGAATTGAAGAATTTAAAAAATTCGTCTTGACATATGAAATTAATACAGAAAATACAAAATAATATTCATTAAATAACAAAAATAATTAGAAATGTTTATTGACGAATAATGTAAAAAGGAAAAAAAGAAGAAGATGTAGGAGTTCTCTCTTCTCAAATCAATCTCTCTATCCCTCTTCCATACCCACCCCAAAAAAAAAAACTTTCCCTCACACCTCACTGACCCTCTCTTTCTCATGCCGTTATTGACTCTCTCTCCTATTTTTTTGGATTTGTGAACTCACATTTTAATTAGATCAGGAATATGAAACTTATTCAATTCTCTTTTAAGAGGTTTGAAAATAAGGAGACTATCTTGTTTTTGTGGATAAACATTCACTTTACTCTCTCTCTTTGTGGCATATCCCTAAATCCTAAAAAATTAGGACCCTGAACCCTCTACCAAAATTTAAAGAGGATTAAGAAAAGAAACCTCTTTCTTCTATTCGAATGACTCTACCTCTCTCTTTTATATATCATCTTTCAAGATCCTAGCAAATGAATTTAATTTATCTTAATTAAAAAGATACCTTGCTTTAAAATCTCTCTATTTTTAGGACATAACTACTGTATAGGACCCTTTTTATTATTGCGACATGTGTCCACCCCTTTAACTTTGGCTTAATAATGTACTATAGGTATCCTAATGGTTGTCTTGTTTCTTGTATTTGCTTTTTCTCACACCAGGCGCCCAATTCCATACGATGAACTGAAGAGGCTGGGAATTCCATTACCCCCAGAAGGGCGATATATGTCACGGTTTCAGGTTTCTTCTCATCCTAATCTTCATCATCATCATTGTTATCATCATAATTGCCATGGGCATCATCATAATTCATAGTGATTAGTATATTCATCACCATCGACATCATGCCGATGCCGCCACCACCACTACCACCATGTCATCGTCATGAGCACCACCACTGCCATTATCATGTCTGACATCATTGTTCTTTTTCAATATAACCACCATCATTATCATTCTATCATTTTGCATGGTTGGGTATTCTTTTAAAGTGAAGGTGATGCCTTTCCTAGATTCCACTGCTTCCTCGTGCTCATAGGCGAGATTGCCATCACCAACACCATCATTATTGTCATCATGAATCATAATCATCATCATTCTATCGTTGCATACTTGTGGTTTCTCTGATCCCACGATGTTATAGATTCCACCAATTCCAAGGAGGAGCCCTATAGAAGAGCGTTCACACAAGCACTCTGCTGTTGATGGGGCAGAGCCATCATCTCGCCGTGCTTTAGATGATGCAGCTGAGAAGAGCTCTTCTAATAGTCATAGACATGGCCAATCTTCTAAACAGTCTAAAAGAAGGCGGGATTGGGATGAAGAGAGACAAAGAGATGGAAACTACATGGATGATGGAAGTAGTGATGATTATAAAAGAGCGCAAGAAAGGAGAAGCACCAGCAGTCACTACCAACACCATGGAAAGCACTCTCATCGGCGCGAAAGACGATCAAAAAGTGTCGACAATCAACCTCCTTGAGCACATCTTGATTGGATGTTCTAGATCCGAAATAAGAGATGGTGTTGGAGATATCTGGACCATGCATGCAGCTCATGGTCTTGATGCTGAGGCTCTAAACACCTCTTCTAATTAAAATTTTGAGGGGCGGTTTTTCTTTTTAGTTTGGTTAATTAATTTTAACACCTTGTGCAACATTAATGAGATAAACTGTGAAATAGAAACAAATCAACTAAGCAAAAAAGCCCGGTTTCAAAGTTCAGTTTTTGCTGAGTCTTGTCTCATTTTCAACTCAACACTATGGAGATCAAGGAAAAAAGAAAAATGGATGACCAGCCCATTAGTTTTGTATTTATTATTATTATTCGAGAGAGAGAGAGAGTGTGTGAGTGAGTGTGAGGGCTTAGATTTAAATTTTGTAGTTACAATTTAAAGGAAAAGTTACTTAACAATTCCTCCAAACAAAAAAGTTAATGGTAGAAATGATGGGTGTAGTTATTGAAAAAGTCATTATTTTTTGTTTTAAAAGTTATTTTAATATTTTTTATATCATATTCTTTTCGGATTTGCTTTCTTTACTCTTATTTCCGTTGCATCACCCCAATCATTATTTTTTTAATTTTTGCAACTTACTCTAGAATTTTAATACCTTGCAAATTTATAGATATATATTGATTCTTTTCAAAGGATGTGCTTTACACCTATTTACAGGATCGCTTATTTCATTCCGAGTTGCATGTAATCTAACTAGCTTATAGAGTACTTTTGTCTTTTAGTAAGAATTTAACTTTATCTTTTATAAAAATGATAAAAAATATATATATATTAATGATATTTATATGAATATTTTTAAATGATGAGCAATATATCACAATTTTTTTTTTTTTTAAAAAACATCTTATATTTAATTAATCTACCAATCACAACTCACTCTATATTAACCTTTGTAATTTGAAAGGTTGTGAATTATAGATTATCTCAAAGGAAAAAGCTTATATAAGAGTGTAACCTTATGCTATAGAAGTAAAAAACTTATATAAGAGTGTAACCTTCTACTATAGAAGTTAGGCGCACCTCAAAAATCTAATAGTAAAGAGTGTTTGAAAGTGGAAAAACTTTTCAAATGATCAACAGACTTTAAGATGTATGAATATGAAGAGAAAAAGAACTTCAAATATTAAAAATAACACATCTTGTAATAAGTTATCTGGACCGTCTATTTTTAATATTTGTAAGTAGTTATAGATTTTGCTTGATTTTGAAATTTGAAATTTCATAATTAGAGCGGAATATGAATTTTCAAGCCATAAGATTTTTGACATGAGAACTACATCTTTCGAAAAAGGGTATTGTTACGCTACACAACTTGTGGTGTATACCCTTAAAGTCCTAAACATTTTTAGACACTTAAATATCTTTGAATTTTAATACGAAAATTTTCATGTAGGGGCCTTTTTTGTCGTTTAAAAGCGTAGAAAGGATGTTTCTATATAAAAAAATAGTGACATTCTATTAGTAGTTAAAAAACAATTAAGGCATCTTGAAGGTGATGTCATACATCGTGTCGGTGATGTCATTGTCCACTATTGTTAATAAATATTTTTGTTTTTATGAGAAATTTGTATTTTACCTTTAACCAATTATTTAAAATACATGTAGGCAAAAAGTTACTGCACTATAGGATAAGAGTATCTACATGTCAAAAATTGTTGAGGACTATAAGGGATACACCACTAAATGGTACAGCTTAACAAAACCGTTCAATTTTTTTTAAAAAAAACGCTTTATTTGTATAAAATAAGGAGGGAAAAATCTTGCTTTTGCTTGTAAAAAGAGAGATGAGAGAGTAAACCGCAATTATGCTGAGGCGCATTGGTCATGAGCTATGCTTTCACAAATGGTAAAGCTTTTTATGTTCTTCCTACAACATAGAAGTTTTATCTTCCCCTTACTAACCAGCCATCTATTTTTTATCAAGAGAGATACTCACCGTTTGATCTTAGATCCGACATCTCAAAGTATTTTATTTTTAGCTTTTTTAATATAAATTTATAAATATGAAATTTGGTACGTGTCATCTTCTCATTGGGGCACACTTATAAAAAATATTAACAATAGTTTTGCGATAAAAAATAATGACCAAAAAACCTTTTAAAAATTTCAGAGATATTTTGGTCATTTTATTTTATTGAAAATATTTTTTCTATATTTTTCGCTAGTACGAGTTTAATAGAAGAATGGACATCCAAATTTTGGTGTCAAAATAATTTATAAAAAAAAAAAAAAAAAGTGTAGAAACGTGATATTGTGATTAAAACAATCTTAACCCTCATTAAAAAATAATGATAGATTGGATAAGAGGAGGATAGAACTTTAATCTTGCACGGAAACACAAAAAACTATCTCTTCACACAATACACACTTGTACTTTCACGAGTCACGCCAACACTGCAAACTCTATTGTTAGTAATTTAGTATACGAGATTCCTCATAAAAATGCAATGAGTGATGTAACCAGGGTGAACGATAGCTGGCCCGGATCGTTTATACGGAAAACGGTACGGATCAATGAAATCTGCGATCCGGCCAACTGAATTAGCCAATAAAAATAATAAAAAAAGCAGATGGATCAACTGGAGTGGTTTTGCCACTTATAGTGACTGAAAGCTTGTTATTGTGATTCCTTCGTAACTAACTTTTGTAGCAATAAAGTTAATAAAAATAAATTTGCGAATAAAAACAACACCTAAAAATTTAAAATAAAAGGTGGGACCCCCTAGGCCGCTGGTTCCCGATACTTTACAAGATCGGACCGGCCCCACTGATTCCTCATCTTGATTGCCAATTTTTTAAAACAACGGATGTAACAATTTGATGATTAGGAGATTTTCACAAAAATATTCCCCTCATATATATTTGGCTGCTGGATTCTATGCCAAACTTGATATGCCATACCACCAACTATTTTCTCTGGTAGCACATATGCTATGCTCTTTTGGGGGCATGGTTTACTCCCTCCCAAAGGTGTAAAATGTCTTTTAGCTTTTTTTTTTTTTTTTAACCATTGTTTTGTGCGGGCTTGACGGCATGAAACAATATGCGGTGGTTCAGAGGTATAAAGTATCCATCTTAAAGATATATGCAAATAGATGGTTCATCTAAAACAATAGTAACTAACGACGGTTTAGAGGTATAAACATTATTATTTATCGTTTTTTAAATTTATATATTTTTTCACATTCATGATCTCTACGTTAAAAATTATGTATTTTTTAAAATGAAAAGCAAATTATATTTTAAAAATATATTTATTACCAACTCCACATTTCTACAATATACAAACTAGCCGGATGTTAACCGCATCTTTTTTTTTTATTATAATTAATATTGCTTAGGGTGAGTAGCACATCATTCCAATCTTTTCATTGTTCCACCCAAAACAAGGGTCCATTTCCCCTGAAAAATGATTTGGCAGCCCATTGATTTGGGTGGATTACTAAAAGCCAAAGGGGCCAAAGTAGGTCCTCTCCCTATCTATGCACCGTCGGATATTTTGGGACTCCATATGCTTAAATAAACAAGGGTGCAGTTTGCATACGGATGCATTCGTAGGTGCAGAGATAAGATGCACTTTCAAATTTTATCATAGTATATAATTTTGATGTAAAATGTTTGTAGGATTATCGTAAAATTTATTTTTATATCTAATTATAATTTTAAATTTAAAAAATAATTAAAATTAAATAGATCAATAAACATGTATCGATAATATATTGTAAAATGTTGAGACTTAATTCTTTATTGTTTTTCATAGCGATACATCTCGATGTTGAAATGAACGATCAAATAGTTTTCCAACATTATTTTTGAGGGCACCCTTAGGTATACATTATAAGGTAGCATCCATATATAAACTTTTTCCAACCCAGGAAAGAAGATATTATTCGCCGTCGTTTTTAGAGGGAGAAAACCCCCTCCCCCTCGACCTTTCGACTCCCCTTCCTGCTAACCCCTCTATCTCTCTCTAGTTTCTCTCTCTACTTTGTTCCTTCTCTCTCAATACACAGCGAAGAGAGGGGGAGTTGCAGGTAACCATGTCTGGGACGTACGGTCCCGATGGCGGTGGAAACACTCGAGGTACCCATTTTTTTCTACTTCCTTCACTTTACATCTCTTTTTAGGGTTTTTTTCTGAAACTTCTTTTGTGTTTTCACCTTCGTACCATGATTTCTCCATTTCTGGTGGAAGTGCTTCTTTTAAAAGGTGGTCTTGTTTCATGTTACAGGCAGTTATGGAGGAGGAGGGTTTCATGGTGGGGATCGAAGAGGAGGTGGAGGTGGTCACAGAGGCGGCCGTGGTGGTGGTGGTGGCGGTGGTGGTGGTGGTGGCACTGGCCAACGTGAAGGCGACTGGGTTTGCCCTAATCCTGGGTATGTTCTTTCCTTGCATTTTTTGTTTCCTTTTTTAGATTTGATGGGTTGTTGTAATCAAGAGCTTCTATTTCTACAGTTTCATTCGTCTTTAGTTTTGTGTACACTTTTTAGTTTTTGTTGCATGTTTGAGAGAATGGATTTGCCCTAATAGTGGGTCTTTGCACTCTTTTTATTTTTTTAGATTTTCACTTTCATTTTTTCCCTTGTTTCGTGAGTTGTCTTATTGATTATGTTTCTGTCTTTTATATATGTATTTTTCTAAAAGTTCCATTGATTTTAATCTCATTGTTTGTTTCAATCAGATGTTTTTTCTTGCTTTTCTCCTCCGTGTTCTTGATGGTTGGTTGTTTCATATTTCTAGCTTTTTTTTTTTGAGTAAGGTTGACTATGGTATATATGTGAAGAAAGATCATATTTCTAGTTTTGCATTCCTTTTTTTTTTTTTTTCGTTTTTTATTTCAAATCAGGGTTTAGAACATTGGGTTTGGCCATTTTCCATTGATCCACTGATGTATATTTCTATAAATGTTTTCCTCGTCTCCTCTTCCTTTCAAATTCTTTCTAGATTGTTGACCAATTATGCTGCATTTTTCTTCTTCTTCTGCCTGAAAATTATTGTTCGTGTCAAGCTCTTTCATTTTTCCGTGATGGTTTTTGTTTCTCACTATCTTTTTTGTCCTTTCATTGATTGGTTGTTCTAGTCTTTCTAGTTTTAGACTTTCAGAATTTTTTTTTCTTTTCATTAAGGGTTTAAGGATATGGTCTTCCCCCCTAATTTTTGCAGATTGCCTGAAAAGTGTTTTTTTTTCTCCATTTTCTCCATGCCCTGATCTTTCTAGTTTGACTCCCTCCTACTCCCACTCCTCTACTGGTTTCTGTGACTAGATTTTTTGTATGCCTGTCTTCTTGGCCTTTTCAGATTTTTTTTGTATTGTATTTTTAATCTTTCTTGTTTAAGAGGATTGTTACTTGTTCCTCCTCCTTTTGTGTGTGTGTGTTTAAGAACATGGGTTTTTCGCTTGTTTCGTAGATGTGCAAATGTGAATTTTGCTAGAAGAATGGAGTGTAACAAGTGTGGAGCACCAAATCCTGGTGGAGCCAGTGAACACAATGGAGGTGGGGGTGGGTACACCCAACGAGGAAGAGGTGGAGGCTATAGTGGAAATCGGGGTGGCCGAGGTGGTGGTGGTGGTGGTGGTGGTTATGGAGGCCACAGTGATAACAATAACAGTGGAAGAGGTGGCAGCGGTAGTGGCTATGGAGGCCAGAGTGATAACTATAGCAGTGGTAGAGGCGGCCGGGGCTATGGAGGCCATGATGATAGCTATAATAGTGGCCGAGGTGGTGGTGGTGGCTATGGAGGTGACAATGATAACTACGGTGGTGGGGGTGGTAGAGGTGGCTCTTATGGTAGTCAGGGTCGAGATGATGGAAATTACAGTAGTGTCCCTCCGCCTGCACCAGTCCCCGCTCCTGCCCCCACTTATCTCGGGGGTAGTGGTGGTAATTATCCTCCACAATTTGGAGAGCGCCTCCCACCTAATGCTCCTCCTTCTGGTTATGGGTCTCAACCTCCCCCGTCAAATCCTTATAGTGAAAATACTTATGGAGCAGCTGTTCCTCCTCCTGGATGTTATGGGGCATCCAATGCTTACCCACCTCCCAATTCATACCCACCTCCAAGTAGTCATGTTCCACATGGTTCTGAAAGAACTAGTGGATATGGTGATTCTAGGCCCATTCCTGGTCGAGATGGCCCCAGGAATGCTACTGGTGGCTATGGTGGTCCTGTTGAGTCTCCAAAAGTGAAGCAATGTGATGAGAATTGTGGGGACTCCTGTGACAATGCACGGATATACATATCAAATTTGCCTCCTGATGTTACTACTGATGAACTTAAAGAGCTTTTTGGAGGCATTGGCCAGGTAAGCCGATTCCTTTTCCTATTCCAAGTTGTTTGTACGATTGTTTCTTCTTCTTCGTCTTCTCTCTTTGTTTTTTTTTTTTGGGAGGGGTGGGGGTTGTGTTGGGGATCAATTATTTGTCTCTTGGCTTATTACGCTGATTTGCACCAAGTTTTGAATCTGTTTGTTACTTTTTGATCACTTTGATTTTACAATTCTTTTTGTTGTAAAACAATAAGCTTTAGATTGGCTTTGCTTTAGCAGCAAAAGTAAAATTATGCACCATGTTAAAAAAAAAAAGGAATATCAGTTGATTGAACTTCTATTTGTAAATGTTACTGGTTCTTGTCGGTCTGTGTAACACAGTTTCCATTTACCAGTACTTCTAGCTGAAATGAGTAAAAAAAAAGTAACTTTTCTTGTGTCCCTTTTGAAAATGAGGGATTAATGTGCATGTGAATGCTGAATAATATTGAAAAATTCAGTCTAATCAATGAAATTTGGTAATTCATTGAGCTATCAAGGGCCTTAAAAATATTTACGAATTTTTTGGTTTGAACTTCAGTTACGAAATGAGAATTTAGAGGTTACCAAGAGTAGTCAAAGTGTTCTAATGCTTGTAGTTGCTTCATGAATGCCCTTTATTTTTTTAATGTGAACATATACATGCAATTCCTTTATGCCTGTGACTGTTAACATGTAGTTAGTCTCTTGTCAGTACGCTTTTTTTAGTTTTTATGAACTGTCTCTTGCTGATCAAGATTCTTGTAGCAAATTTTTAGTTTTTTTTAATGGCTAGACTTACTCTTTGTTGTGTGATGAAGAGATATCTAGTTTTCCTTTTGCTGAGCTGTCACTTGTTAAAGTCATGTACTCTGCAAGATCGAGGTGATAATGGCATCGAGATGGTGCTTTCAGGACTATTCTTGAATACATGGACATATCATTTATCTGATCCCATTCTTTGGCCTTTTCGGTTTTGGCTGTTTTTGGAAATGCTTTGGGAATGGATTCTGTGGACGTGTGATCTCATTGCCCATGATGCATTTTATTTGGAAAGGGTTGGGATCTTGTTTTCTACTGTATGGTGTGTATTATTGACCTGTTGGCGTTAACACATTACGCTCGTTCAAAAAAGTCGCAAGCGGGTCGCCTAGGCAGTTGGCAGGCGCCTAGAAACCTAGGTGGCCCTAAAGGAGTGAGAGAGAGGCTTTCTTCGATGTTCATGTCTGTTAGGGATTTTATTCTTGAGAATGTTTCTCTGTCTTGAATGCTGCCTTCTTTGGCCTTTTCGGTTTTGGCTGTTTTTGGAAATGCTTTGGGAATGAATTCTGTGGACGTGTGATCTCATTGCCCATAATGCGTTTTATTTGGAAAGGGTTGGGATCTTGTTTTCTACTGTATGGTGTGTATTATTGACCTGTTGGCTTTAACACATTACACCCATTCAAAAAAGTCGCAAGCGGGCTGTCTAGGCGGTTGGGCAGGCACCTAGAAACCTAGGTGGCCCTAAAGGAGAGAGAGAGGCTTTCTTCGACGTTCATGTCTGTTAGGGATTTTATTTTTGAGAATGTTTCTCTGTCTTGAATGCTGCCTTCTTTCTTCTTCTTCTTCTTTTTACCTTTATTTTTTATTCAGTTTAATGGCCTGCTTAGATGCTCTAGGTGGCTGAATTTTTGAATAATGTGTCCAACTGCCAATACTGATTCTGAAGAAAGCGCTGATTAATTAAACATCAACTTGAGTTTTAAAAGAGCAAAACTTGGTCAGTCATTTTTTTTCTGATATATGCTCGTCACTTGGTCTCTTTTAGATTGTTGCTGTTGATGATGCTTTCAACTTTTCGTCTTCCTGAATGCTCTATGAAGTATGAATTATTAACAAATTTGTTAAAAGGTGCTATTCTCAGCTGCTCTGGCTTGTCTGGGTCCCTTAATGAGTCTGGAGAATCTCGTATACGTTCTCTAGATATTATTCTAATTAAGTTGGACCTATAAGAGCAGACTCAGCTTAGTGATAGATGGAATGGAACTTGTGAAGGCATAGTTTAGTTTGTTCTCTCTTTGACGTTCATGATATGCCATTTAAGTCGCAACACATAGCATTTCCATTTCTACAATACAAAAGACATTCCCAACCAATTAATTCTACATAAAACTGGAGGCAACTTTAGAAATTTATAGAGATGCAAATTTTGAGGTAAAGGAAGTACTTCTATGTCGAGACTCCAGATAGAGAAAATTGTTAGAAACTTAGGGATTTGCTATTTTCATATGGTATTCTCTTTCAGTTTTCTATCATGATTTCCATTTTGTGCTGTTTTAGTATTTATTGTCTGGATAGGTTGATATATGTACTAGTGAGGTTAAATATCTTGTTTTGTTGAGATAATTATAATGTTATGATGTGAAATTTCGGTCTAGTTGTGACTGATTTGTAATATAGGTTGTCTCAGTGCCGTTCAAAATTTGTGTCCATTGGGAATCTATTATGATGGTACTTGTTCTGTTTTTAACAATTCTAGATCTGCATAAATACCCAAGAAGTGTGACTGGTTTGAATTGTACTATCTCTCTCTCTCTCTCTCTCTCTCTGCTATTTCTTTTACTTAAAAGACACTTCATCTGTTTGGGTGCTATCAGTTATTTGTGTTTGCTTACTAGTTGTTCTTGAAGCACACTTGTGCACACACACGCACACAGTGTGTGTGTATGTGCCTGTCATATGTAATGTTTAAAATGCTCAAACTCTGCCAAGTTTTAAACGAGTCAACTCCCCAAGTCCGAGTTGAGCCGCTGGTCTCATCTTATAAAACTTAATATTTTTAACAAATAACTAATGGCATGTGAGTGGTTCAATGCTCTAGTTGAGAAGTCCGATGAAAAATAATCTTCGAGGTATTTTATTTCTATGAAAATTTAGTATTTAATCTCATGATTGATATTTCCAACTCTGTGATGGCTGGCCCCAACAAAGGAGGCAGGTTGTGTTAGGTAGGGAGCCAATGTAAAACTTTGTCGCAATTTTTCATTAATTAGCCGATCCCAACTAGTTGGGATAAGGTTCGGATGATGATGATGATTGGCATTTCCATTTTACTATGAAATATTTCAATGTATTTACTATTTACATATCTCACGTTACTATTTTTCTGTAGTTTATTTTTTATTAAGAAGTAAATTTGGGTAATAAATGTGACTTTTTAACTAAATTTAGGTATGCATTTGATTTAGAAAATAGTGAGGGAATTTTAAAGAGATAAGTCTATCCAAATAGTGGAGAGAGAGATTCAGAAAATTTCAGGGAAGAACAGTATGTAGGAACGATTTCAGCAGTCATAAAAGATTTTTAAAGTCACACTCCTGTTCATTTTCCTTATGTAATATAAATATGCATACTGTGTTATAGTACACTTCTATAGACTCAGCTAGGACTTGGATTGCATAGACTCAGCTAAGGCTTGGATTGGACTTGGGGCTCGGCTGACTCCCCTATACAAGAGTCAGCGAGTCCTATGAGGACTTGGGTTGAGTTTTCTCAAAACTGCATGAGGGCAAGTTGGACAGTTTTAAATATCGGCAACTGCCTGAGCATAATTGTCTCGGTGAATCCTGAGTTTTAAGACACTGATCACATGACTTTCCTTACTTGTATTTGTTGTTACACGTGTGCACATACTGTGTATGCGTGGGCACACTCGTGCATGTGGATGTGCATGTGCTTGTGGCATATGCGTGTATGTTAGTGTGTATATTATTCCTTGCCCGCCTCAAGGTTTGTTACTTGTTTTGTGGTTAGAATTATTTCATACTAGCCCCCAGATTAAATTTTTTTTTCTTTCCATACTAGCTCGTTTGCATCGATTCCATTTGAGACATCTTATTATGGAAGTTAGATATGTTTAGACGTATACAATTGGTATGGAATTGGATTATTGGTCTGCTTATTTCTCGTAGTGTTTTATCGTCATGTGAGTTTGCCCTTGCCTTCTGTTCGTTCTTTTGTTTGTTTGTATTGAAGAGGAAGCATTTCTCTACTGTTGCTGTTCCTATTGCATTGGCACAACAAACGGGATCATGCATAATGCTGAGTCAGACTCTTAACATAAGGGTATCGCTTAACGTGTACAAATACATTGTGTAGAAGTTCAAAATTTCATCTTGAAGTAGATGTAATGTTATTAATCCATTGTTTATTTATGGATCTAGATGGCATTGTTGAAAACAGGACCTAAAGAGTTGGAAAATCGGGGTTGGTGCAAATCCTTTGGACAGAGACAAAAATAAAATTTTGCCTCCTAGTTAGTATCCAGACCAAAACTTTGGTGGCTGTAGCTATTTAAAGTTCCTGCTACTGAAAGTTGGGGCTGTAATACCTTACTTTGCCAGCCTCCTGGCTGAAGTGGCATGACTGTTGAGGTTGAGTTTCTATTTTGGTCACGAATATGAGGATTTACTAGAGCTTCTTGTAATTGGAGGCAAGTCCCTTAGTTTGTTCTGACATATACCATTCGATGAAGGGTATTCTTGCAGTCTTTCTTCCCTCGTTTAGTGAAAGTACTCCGTCATGAGAAACTTCCTTGTTTTCTTAGGGAAATTGATCTATTAGGGATCTTTCCTCTTCTGATTTATCAGGATGTCTCTTATGAGTGTTGTATTTGGAAATCAGTCAACTTGCTCTAGTATTAGATGGATGTCACAGGCTCACGGTCCTCAAAACAAAAAAATAACCGTTAATATTATCTGCAATCGTCTGACTCATGCTGTATAATAAAGAAAAAAAATTCCCCATGTGATATCAGTAGTCCATTTCCTGGTGCTGAGATGTATAGTTAAACTACATACTTTGCAAACCTGTCTAGAAAATGAGGATTGAGTGAACCCTTCAAATATGTAGATTATATGTGGCAGGTGACCCAGTGTTTAGTTGGGAGATTGTTTAGTTGGGAGATTTATACAGATATCTTAACTCTTAAGATCATCTGGAGTATGAATTTATGGAATATTCTTTTGTTTCTCATGCTTCATTATTATTTCTTAATGCCTGATATCCAATTTGTGGGGTTCTAAGCCTTCCTTTGATTTTTTTTTTTTGAAGTGGTTTTCCTGTGATGTTTGTTTGATAGGTTGTTTTAATGTTTGAGCATTTTTTATGACCTTTTTTCTAGTTATGTCCTAAAGCCAACAAAATATACAACCTTGTCTCTGGGCCATATATTGTCTAATATCTACTTCTATTTGATGCTAATTTAATGTTCCCTTTGCAAGCTTAAGCCTCAACGTGTTAATGCTTGGGAAGGGCTTTCAATAAGTTCAGTTATTAAACTAGAAAGAAAGAAACACATTCTCCCCGTTTTTATGTGCATGGTGACACATCAAAGACAATGGCAGCAATACCATGGCATCCGGAGAATAGAAAAGGGAAACAGCAACAACACTCTTATCATTCTTGTGGCATGGTTTGCTAATTGACGTTCAGAAAAATTTCACATGGGATTGCAAGACTTAATTGTCTACTCTAATCCATTTGGAGTAACCTAAGCTTATTACGCAGTGTAGATAGGTTTATTGGTTTGATTAATATTTCTGGTGCTACCTTATAGGTTGGTCGGATCAAGCAGAAACGTGGCTATAAGGATCAGTGGCCTTGGAACATAAAAATCTATAGAGATGATGGTGGGAACAGCAAAGGAGATGCTGTACTCTCTTATGAAGATCCATCTGCAGCGCATTCTGCTGGTGGTTTTTACAATAGTAAGTATCTGGCATGAAATTTTGTTTCATAACGTCTCCATAGACCTCATAGACCTATATGCATAATGTTGACATATTTATACGGTAGGCATGCTCATATTTACATGCATTTTAATGTATGTATGTGCGCATGTATTTATAATTTATGTATGCATCTATTTGTTTTCGGTTTGCTTATATCTTTGTCTCTCAGATTATGACTTGCGGGGCTTCAAAATCAATGTTGCTATGGCAGAGAAGTCCGCACCTAGGGCACCACCTGCTTATGGCCATGGGTATGTGGTCCTCTTGTGCTTAGTTCTGAGTTCTTGGCAGTGATTGTGATATAGAACAATTTTTGAAGAGTAGCTAATGTGCATTTGCTTATCTTTGTTAATGAAAGGATAAATGGAGATCCGGTCCTCTTTCTTTCTCCTGATTAGTAACTAATTTTCTTTCTCTAAGTCTTTTAGTTTCCATCTTTTCCTTTTTTTCTGCTAGCACCTTTGTTCTTGTTTGATTCTTCTCTTATGGTCTTTCTTGAGCTTGACCATTTCCTGTTGCCTGGTTAAACCTTTTGCCTTCTATATCCGGGATTCTGAACAGGTTATAATTTCACTAAAATCATAAAACAACTGGAAAAAAGAGTGAAGCCAAAGAAATGATGCTTTTCATTTTGAAATGTTAACGAGAGAAATTAATTACATTAATTTGCACATAGGAATAGGCAAAACTAAATGTGCTCGGTGAAAGAGAGAGAAGAGATGGGAAATAAATGGGCAAGGTCAAGAGATGGGAAATTGAGGGAGGTCATACAAGGCATCTCTCTCATTGCCAGCCTGTGCTAGTGAATCAGCATTCTCATTTACCGCCCGATGTCATGCACAATAGTCACCTATTTATCATAGCAAATATCGTAAACTTCCTCGTCAAAATCGGCCATCCTCCATTGGTGTGGGTGATCATTGCAGCACCACCAAATAACATTCAGAGAACCCCCCCCCTTGATAATAGAAGGGTTTTAGAATTTGTGGAAGTAGATCTTCAGCCCTTTGATTAATGTTTTTGCTTCAGCCAAGTTAGCTTCTCCACAATCTCATACGACCACCATAATATAGGTGGGTTTGGCCCCTATGATCCCTAATCGGGATTGCCCAAATAACTGCCATTGAAATTTTATTTCAGCGTTCCCTAAGGTAGGGCCTGTCACACCACGTGAATCTGGCCCTCATGAGCATTGCTATTAACAAATTCCTTCCATTTTCTCATGATTTGGGCCCTTGATCTGAAAAACTCTATGCTCAATGCTTGAAGCTTTTCGTGTCTTTATTCTTTCTCCTGCCATAGTAGTTACATAATATTTTCCTTTTATTTGTTCATTCCATAAACCCCATTGGTCTAAAAAGGGTGTGGACCTTAAACTTTCCATTAACCTATCACAAGCCCCTGGGTAAAGGAGGTGGATTGTGTTAGGTAGGCAACTAACATAAAACTTTACCAAAGCCAAAACGTTTCTATGAATCCTGAATCTACGTTATTTGCTTATGCTAGGGCATTCCCTATAAGCGACGCGCTATACCGGAAACTTGGGTACTATGAGAAATGAGCAAGGGTTAGCTAGGGCGTTCCCCAGAAGTGACACGCTGTAGCGTTGCTTGGTTGCGGTGAAAAATAGGCAACCAGTACAACACCTGTAAAAGGGTGCAAGTTAATTCAAGTGGAAGGCTAAAAAAGGGCAAAGGGTAGGCCCAAAAAGACATGGTTGGAAGTAGTGAGAAAAGATATGGGGACTTATGGCCTCACTGAAGGTATGACCCTTAATAGAGTAGAATGGAGGACTAGGATTCTTGTCGCTCACCCCAATTAGTTGGGAAAAGGCTCTGGTCATGATGATGATTCCATAAGCCCCATAAGATTGCATAATAGGTTAAAGACCATAACAGGTGTCCCTTTGGAGGAAAAAGGCTTGCCTCCTTGTGACACAATAGTTCAGAATAGGCAGTAGGGGAACCCTATCCATGCTTAACTTAGGACATAACTCTGATTTTTGCTAGGCATTTGTGTCAAAGATAAAGCTAGGAAAGTATATTCTTATTAATATAGATTTTGCGATGGGAAGTGGGATTGCGATCAGGAGCGTGGGATTGTAAAAGGCTAAAAGATCCATATAGTTTTTTGTTTGTTTTGAGAATAGAAGATCCCTTTTATTAGGAGCATCGTTCGTACAATGCATGTGTCGAGGATCGAGATCCCTAATGTTAGGGATCATGATCCCAACCTTTTGGGGATCTCGTTCCCGACCTTTTCGATCTCGATCCCAAGCTTTCAAGGATCTTGCTCCCAACCTTAAGGAGTATGTATATAGTCTAGGACTATATATACTTTTTGAAGTAGGGATTCCTTTATTTATAACCAGCAAGCAATGCAACTAAATTAAAAGTGTAGTTAGATTACTAGTTGCTATAAATGTAGAAAATTATCATATTGGTTGTTATCTTTTTCCTTAAGTTGGGTATCGAGATCCCTAATAGTGGGGATCGAGATCCCTAACAATGAGGATTGAGATCCCAAAATTTTTTTAAAATCAATGTTCAAAAAGTTGGCTGCTCGACCGCCTAGGCGGCTTTCTGGAGAAAACGCTTAGGCGTTCTTAAGGTGGTCACTGTTAGGCCCCAAAACTAGGCGTCCACCTAGCCGGTTGGGTGACCGATTAGGTGGTAAAAGGCGCCTGCCTAGGCGGCCTGGAGATGTATGGCGGAAAAGTTTTTTGAGACGGGGCAAAAATTCATTTTACCCCCTTAAAAGAGGGGATAAGGGTTTGGGGGGTCATTCTTGCCCCCCCAAAGCAATTTTAGTTAACTTTAGAGTGAGAAACAACTTGAAAAGAACTAGATTTTTTTGAGAGATCGAAATTTTTTTTTGAAATCCTCAAATGGTCACTATATTAAAGAATATTCAACCCCAATCTTTTTGAGGCTTATAGGGGTTGTAAAAGAGGAGAGTTGGGATCCCAAGCATTTCCGTTTTAGCCCGAAATCGAGTCCACTTCAAGAAGGTTGGTAGATTTCAATAGTTTTCATTAGGTTTTTTAGTTTTTCCCCTTAATGTCTATTGTCTAATGATGTTCTTTTTTTGCTATTTGTAATTTTTCTTTGATATTTTGTGATACATATTTGATATTTTATTGTCTATTTGGATTAATATTTTATTAGTTAGTTTAAAAATTGAAGATCCCTTTCCTAGATAACTGAAGCGAGATAACAGAGAGGTGCCACCTATAGGTTGGGAGGTCCTAGCAACTATGGTTATTACTGTATTTCTAATGCGACTTGATGTACGATTCTGTCTTTGATTTTTGATGAAAGTTAACTAACAAAGTAGGCTTTAATCACATCATGGGGAGGGTTGTCAGGGTTGCCTTCATTGTTGTCTTTTAAGAATCTCATTTCTGCTACCTGTTTATTTTTGCTAATTCATTGTTATCCTTCCTTTAGAAGGGGAAAATGAGAAATCTCATTCTTTGGCAGATATGTTGATTGAATTGTTATAATATGAAAAACTGGTGCTTGTCAGCTCTCATGTTTCTTGTTGATTGCCTTCTGCCTGAGGTGGCAGAAGTCATACCTCCCAGAAGATGTATTTTATTTGGAGAGAAGCATCTCTCATAAGTGGTGCTTGTGTTTTATAATAATTATGTAGGTGGGCACTTTATGGTTGACTGACTTGATTCTTTGGGTTGGTCTGCCATCCAAAAACTAGGGGCCTACTTCATCCAAACCCTTTTCTCTCTCTTCTTTCGTCTCTATCCTGCCACCCTAAAAACCCTTGGCCTTATCTCCATCTTTTAAGCCCCAAAACCCTAGATAACCTTTCTGCCAATATGTTATTCCGATCAGTATTCAACTAAGCAATATTTGACTTAAATTCAGCATTGTTCCATCAATTCCATAGTTTATTTAACTAGACTGCTAAATTTCAGCAAAAGTCGCTTCTGTTTAAATCGCTCTGTCAAACCTTACCATCTTAATTTCCCAAATTGAGTCTTAAAACCTTAATTTATTTCAATAATTGTAAAGACCTCATCTCTAATTAAACCAGAGCTTAGCCTTGCGGTGCTTAATTCAACAGAAAAATTCCCTAAGCCTAATTCTCATTTGTATCCCACTAAACCTTGCTGCATCATGTATGAGTTCCTTGGTCCTACATCACATAGATGTAGTGATGATAAGTTGGGATGTGTAGAAATGTGTCGGTTATCTAGGGAACCCTAGGATTGCATGCACTTGAAGCACAGGTCATACTTATGGAATCTAGCTTTGGTGTGGGGGAGCAGTGAATTAGTTCAGGTCAATGTTGTCATAACTGAACTGTTGATCGAGCTCGGTCCGGTTTAACCACACAGTCGAGTCCGGTCTTCAAATCATTGGTTTAGGTTTGTGGTGGAGCTTAACATTATAGTGCCCTGTTTCAAGGCTGAGTGTGCCTGATCAGATATCAAAGTCAATAGCATTTTGAGCATAGGAATGGGAGCATGCTGTGGTTGAGGGTTCAATGGGGTTTTCTAGTCTTGAGAGGCTTGTAATATCCTTGAAGTGGTAGTGTTGAGATGCAGTGTGGAAGTTGGATACCTTGTGATTTATGTTAGTTCTTTGTTGTATGGACTGTAGATTCCAGGTGTAGTGTGATGCCAAAGCGGTTTGTGTAGAAACGAAAAGCAATCCATGAAAACTAGAAAGAAGAAACAAACGCAAAAGAAAGAGACAACCAACCACAACGCAATGATATACGTGGTTCGGTAACGTGCCTACGTCCACGGGAGATGAGAACTTCTTTGCTGGCAATGGAGAATAGGGTTACACAAGCTCTCTTCCTCACGCCTCTCTGATTACATAGCAATTTGCGTTTTTCCCTTAACCCTAGATGAACCCCCAATCACAACAATATATATCGAGTTCCAAATAGATGGTACAAATTACGGAAATACCCTTGTAGGGATATATTTCGAATCCTCCGGGCCTCAAGCCCTACGGGCCTTCGGCCCTTTGGGCTTTTAACGGCTCTCTGGAGTCGTCTTTTTGACTCCACATTGGTTTCCTCAGAATACAAGACATCAATTCTCAACAATTTGGTTTGGGGTATCTGGTTTCACCTAGAGTTCTCACATTTACCCGATTTTTATGATCATTAGATGCCTACTAGGGACTAACTTTAGCTTAGGGACTAAGTATTTCTGTTACAGACATGTTCAGGATTCTGGAGAGGTGGCAACCATCCATTGCTATGATTCCTGTTCTCAAAGAGCACTACTGGTTAACGTCATAGCTAGTTCATTGTTTGGTTCATCAAGGGAGAGGAGACAGGTTTGGATGTATGCTTACCATCTTTTGGGTGTTATGAGAGAGGAGAGCATCTTGCTCGTTCTAGGAATTGTTGGTAGATCATTTTAAGGTCTCGAGCCCTCAACCATCCCTTAAATGCTGGCATTTTCCATGACATTAAAGTAGGGGATTTGGCGAACCATTGGACATAGGATTTGTGCGTTTTAGCTATGACCAACCTTTTGCTAGATGTGGCAAACCACTCACTGGGCAGCCTCATTGAATTAAAGATAGCTCGTTGGAAAGTCTTGGGCTTTCTGGATTGGGTGGTTTTAAGGTAATGAATAGTTTATCTTGAAGGCTCATCTCTAAGTATGCCATCTAGGCTAAGCAAAGCGTTCTGTTTTTTGGATTCAGTATCAAAGAAAGCTCGTCACAAGAATTAGGATATTTGTTAACTATCTTTTGATCCTTTTGATTATGTGTGTTTGACTTGCCGACCATCGTAGGATAGGGGTGAGCATGGATGTAACAAGGGGCTTGAAGATCACAAAATTTTCTTGATGGGATTGCAGCATCATGTGACGTCTTGAGATTGCTTATACTTAAGTCTCTCAATTGGCGTTGCAGATTTCTTTGCAAAGGAGTGTATCACTGAGAGAGTGCTTTCTTTGAGAAATCCTTGAAAGCTGACCTGTCTCCGACCTGTGCATTAGTTGATTTATCTATTGTGGTTTAGCCTTTGGAACAATATTCAGATCATCATTTCATATCAGTTTTTGAAACTTGAACCCCGGCATGGCAATCGGCAGGGCCCAAGCCCAAGCCCAAGTCATTGGGTTTGACTCTGGCAAGTCTTACCAATACTCAGCTGCGTCAATAAAAAATTTGAGAGTAACCGCAGGTACCAGTGAGACACTGCTGCTTCTCGATGTTTTTTCAACGGGACTTGGTACCCTGCCTGGTACAAGTTACTCAGATTGACTCACCGAGTTTTAAAATGCTGTACTTTACATCGAATGCTAAGAAAATGTTATTTACTAAGTTTTTGAAGACTGGTACTTGGCATGATATGTGGCTGAATCTTGTGGCAGGTTGACTTGGCAACATGTCTTATCATCTTTCAGAATGTAAATACTGGAATGAATAAAATAAATGATTTAGAAATCACTTAGGACCTTTAAGTAGGGTTACAGGCTCGTATTGTTGTTTCTGGCATCCCTTGACTTGGTATGCAAGTCTTGAATGATTCTCTGAGAGTCTATCCTGTGTCTTCTATTATTTGTTTTTTCAAAAGGTTGGTGGGGCTTGAGGCATGGATGAGACAAGTTAACTTGGTCGAAGTCTCACTCACCACGTCAATAGCTAAAACAACGGTTAGTTGTGAAGAAAAGGAATCTAACAAATTGTTGATGATTGGAAAACGTTCTATCATTCAAGATGCTTACTAAAGCTTGCTCAAGCTGAAGGAACTAGGCATATGTGGAATATCAGAGATTTGGACTAACAGGTGGGTGTTGCGAATCAAGGAACCATATGCTGACTTCAGCGTATCAATTTTTTGAACTTTGTGAAGCATCAATATTTTGGACTTTATGAAGCGGATAGATTTTTTTCTCTCAAGGACAGTCAATGACTAGATAACAGGCACTATTTCTGTTGTGTTGTCCAATTATTGTACATTTTACAAGCATGAACTGCCAAGCCAGGTACTTTCACCCCATTAGGCTACACCTTAACCTTAATTCCTTAAATTAATTTATAATGGCTACCTCTCCATAGGTTGCTATAATCTTCCATTAAGATTGCGAATGGGAAAGGGATGGGACGTGGTCTACTTGCCACAAACCTCTCTACCCCAGAAAAATCTTTTGGGGTGTATTCACCTTAACTAGGTAGGAGTTGAAGGGGATAGGAAAGGCATTTCCTATTTACTCCAAGTCCCCCAAACTCCTGTCCTAACAAGGAAAGCCAAGTTCCAATATATGAAATTGTTGTTGTTCCTGGCCTTGCATCCTCATGTGTATACAGGAAATTATTGGCGGCTATTGAGCCCACATCCCAAAGTCTTCCATTCCCATGTATTTCCTTTGAAATGCAAATTCTTGTAAGTGTTACAATTGCTTCTTTTTGTAAGTATTGTAATATTTTATTTTATTTTAATTTTTTTTTCTAAAAAACAGTTTTTTTTATTGATTTTCTCATCTTTGCTACCTGAAATCTTTTAAGGGAAATTTTTTATGATGGCATATAGCATCATTATACTTCCTGTAGTCCTCATGTTTCGAGGTCCTTTTCTCACCTAGGCCTTTGCATTGCAAATTAACAAGTTGTCTGGACCGTCTATTTTCAAAGTTTTCAAGTGTTTCTTGAACTGCTTGATCTGTACCATTTTTGAAAATTTAAATTTTATAACTGAAGATAAAAAGGGATTTTGAAGCCATCATAAGGTTTTCTATGCTGAAATGATCTCTCTAAGTACATTTTATAGGTGCTCCTTACTTCTACAGTATAAGGAGGCAACCTTATGCAAACCTCACCAATATTTTATTGGTATTATTTTGTCAAGAGCAATGCAACTTGGACAAGTACGTCTGGGTTTTATGGCGCATCTCTAGACGCTAAGGAAAACAATCTGTGTATGTCACTTCGAAACTTGAAAACATGCTTTCTGGCCCCAAGGGCGGGTAATTGAATTGGGTTGAGCCGCCTACCTTGTGGGTTGCTCCGACCTGGGTCTCTGTTTGGGTCCAACTTCTGGACCCTGCAGATGGGATTTGGGTCCAAAAATATGAACCTGACGGACCGATCATCTCAAATATGGGTCTGGGTCCTACCCAGACCGAATGGGGACATATTGGGGTTGGGCCAACCAGCCTTGCATGTTCAATATATAATACATACTTCTCATTTTATAAAATATCTATGTTATATTATGAAATATCTATGTTATATTTGTTATATTTTATATGTTTTTGTTTTTACTTCAACCTGACCTGACCTGACCTGGTGGGTCAGGTTCATATCGGACACGACAAGGACTTGAATCAACCTGTTTAAACTTTAAACTCCTACACAATCTACCTACCCCTAAAACCTGCTTCTCCTCCCCGCCCCCCACCCAAAAAATAAAAAGCAAAAAAATAAAGTAAAACATAAATACATAAGTAGAACCTCTGTCCAGCTCCCACCCCCTAAACGATCATGTTTGAAAGGTGCAATTTCGCAGTTGGTATTTCTGATGTGGCTGCCCATATCAATCACTGACTTGTATCCTTGTTCTTGGAACATATGTCACAAGGAACATTTATGTTTCTTCACACACACACATTCAGCTGTCTCTAAGCCTCTGGTTTCTGTTTAGAATTGGAATATACCTTATGAGAATCATTACTTAGTTGTAGTTTAGATGGTGATAGATTAACTGGGCTGTTGCGTTTGAAAAAAGTTAATTGGATCTTTTCCTTGGCTATGTAAAACTATGTAGTTGAAGATGGATATGTGCGCATTGAATAGTTTTGATTGTCAAAGCAAGGTTACTAGTAGATCAACTCGAGTTTCTGGTCTGTAAATATATCCTAGGAAGGTTTTCCTTGAGTTTTGTTGTATGATGAGATGGTAACTCCCATTCTGGTTGAGTAGGCCAGGAAAAATCTTAGGAAGGTAGGAAATTATTGCAGAAATTGGAAAAATCTTAAAAAAAAAATAAAAAAGGGAAAATTGTCTTTGTTTTAAGTTTATGTTTTCTAAAGACTAAACGTTCTTTTTGAACTTTGTGAATTGATTAGTTATCTTCGCTTAGATGTATCCTTCTTTGTCAAGTTGTTCCTGTACAAGTGACATAGAATCGATGTGTTTTGTGATCAATTGAGAAGGATCTTTTACTTGCATTGAACACAACTTTAACCTTTTAAAATCACATGAAATTCTAAATATAAATTAGCGGGAGTTTTCATATGATATAAATGGGAATATTTTCTTTTTGAAGTGAGTTTCAAGAAAAAATGTACATGTTTTTCACAAATTCGTCAATGAAGTATCAAGCTCTATATTGTGTACATGAAACAGGGGTGGCAGAGGTGGTTATGGTGGTGGGGGAGATCGACGCAGAGATAATTACAGAGATGGTGGGGGTTCGGGGCCTGATAGGCACCATCATGGTGGGCAACGTTCTCGCCCTTACTGAGGAGGCTTCCTGCGCCAAGCTTTATATGTACTAGGAATATGGTCACTTGTTGATTTGTATTCGAAGGAGTTGTAACCAAATGGGAGCTTAAGGTAGGTTTTGTGTGAACTTATAGTGAACTCTTTTTATCCTTCTCTTGCTTGCAATCGATGAGGTGGGTCGAGTTTTAATTAATCATGTGAATGGTTTTTTATAGAGGCAGGAGTGGATAAACTCCAAATTGCTGCTTAACTTGAAATTTTCAGGTGAGTGCTTATAATTTGAATTTTTTAGGTGAGTGCTTAATATTTAAATTTTCAGGTGAGTGCTTAGTATTTCAAGCTCTGACCTATTGTATGTTGTTTTGTGATGCATGCGTCTGTTCTTGTTGGCCATGCATCATCAAATTGCACCATACATATAATGCATGCATTTGCCATGCGTACCGAGTTGTGCATTTGTATGTCTTGATGTGTGTGTGCGTGTGTGGGAGAGGGAGAGGGAGAGGGAAAGGGAGAGGATTTGAATATTTGGGTTTTGTACGATCGATTGTTGATGTGTTCTAACTTCAAATGAGGCACACTGGGATTGCGGGGCCATATGTAATGTTCTGTTGGTGTATTTGTGTTGGGCAACGGAGTGGAGTGGAGTGGTGGCTACTGTTGGCTGACTGGATCATTGATTGCCTGCCCTTTATACACACTCCTCAATATCTTCACAGCCATCCCATCGTCATGACTCTTGCTTTGCCTCACATAACTGGACTCTTGCTTTGCCTCACATAACTGGGAACCGGCTTTTTGTTTACTTCTGATTTATGTATTATGTTTAAAATTTGACAGTCGTGGACCCTCATGGACCACCATTTTTAGGTTATTGTTTACTTTAAAGCGCTGGTCTATGTTGAATATTTTTTTTAAAAAGGGCCGGTGGCTGTCATGGACCACCATTTCTGGGTTATTTACTTTTTTTTTTTTTTTTTGTAATGTTGGTTGTTTAATTCTAGGTGGAGTGCAGAAGATATTTCAATCCATTGCCTTTTGGGGCGTTCGATCGGAAGAGAAGGGGCGAGAGTACAAAATGTTTTGCCCTTGCATGTAAAGATCATACTTGCAACTAAGAAAGTATGAGCGGTTATGGGAGCTATTCGAGATTCTCCCCAGAAAATTTTAATGGCCAATGTGATCTACCCAAAAAAAAAAAAAAAAAAAACTGAAACGAATTATATATATATATATATATATATATATATATATATATAGTAGTAAGTTATATAGTAGTACTAACTAATAGTAGTATACACTATAGTGACTATACTAAGTAAATTACGTTTAAGTAAGTTAGTTTAGTTTTAAGTTAGTT